CGGCCTACCCATGACAATGGCCCCAGGGGCCCGGAGCCTTCAGTATCTCAGCGTCTTCCTGCGAGCCTCGCTGTAGTTCAGCAGCCCAAACCTGGCCCCACCCTTCGTAACTCTACCCCGGACCCCCCGCGCGTGGAGCGCGCGAAGCCCACGCGCGACGGCCCGTGCCCTTCCCACGGCCCCCCTCCCCGTCTGTTGACCATAGGCCCTCGCTGCCTAGCCGAAACTTCTGTCGCTCACAATTCAGTAGGGCACTCGTATGTTGCTACAAACAGCGAGTCAATCACAATTCCAAATAAACACACAAGCGTGGAATCGAGCTAGAAGGGGGGCCTGCGGAGGCCCACGTCTCACCGACAACAGGCGAAGCAAAGGGGCCCCCGCAGCGGTTTGGAAAAGGGCGCCCACGATGCAAGAGAATTGGCGCGCAAGAAATTTGCAGCTCCTGGCGGGCCGAACAGGGCCCTGGCAGAAAAGAACCCGCAGGGGCTGACAGGGAAGAAAATCCTAATGGAGCGCCGCGGGTGCATGCTGAAAAATACCCCCACCAACACACACACACACAAAGCCAAACCTGGCACGCAGGAGGGGGGGGGCAAATAAAACACATCGCGCACACATGTGTACGATCTTTGTTTGAAGTCCACGTAGGCACTGGCAGGCAATTCAGCTGGCCATGGCGAGGACAGGCTGGGCACGACTGAAAGGTACGTGGTCGCGCAATTCATGTGGCAAGTCACCGATGCCCTGTCAAGTTGGCATTTTGCTGCGGGCCGGGCCCAGGCGGCAAACCTCTCACCCTCCCCCGCCCCCCTCGTCGCTTCAGGGGCTCGGGCTTCTCAGGAGAGAACGCCGCCGCGTCGCAGGAGCCTTGTCGCACGGAGGGCGGCGCCAGCCAGCTTCGCCAGTCTGAGAGCTTCCGGAGGGAAGGGGGTCTCCTTCTGGGGGGAGCGGCCCTCGCCCTGCCCAGGAACTGCGATGTCGCTGCCGGGGAGACAAAAACCGAAAGGGAGCACCGACACCCTCCCCGACCTTCCGCGACGGGAATACTGGGGAACAAAAGGGAAACGTCAGGACGAGCACGAGGAAAAGGGGGACGAGTAAACAGAGGAATACGTCGAATCGTGAGGGGGCTTTCGTACTGTTGTCCCGCCATCCAGGATTGCAGCAGCAAGTTGGACATTTCCTTCGGGGCCAGCCCCAGTCTGTGAGAGGCAGCTTTAGCATCGAGCGCGCATGGTGCATCCGTCGGAGAAAGCCACGTTGGATCGCTCAGACATGATGAGGACACCTCCCGTGCTTGATTCCCATCCGTCTGCACTTGATGCCCCCGTGCGCCGTTTTGGCTCCGAATTCTGCGCGATGGACCTGCGACGAGGAAGCCTGGACGACGGCGAGCAGGTACGGACCAACGCAGGGGAGCAGGCATCAGGGAGGCGACCCTCGACGTTCACGGGGCTGCCCCGCTGCCGCCGCGTTGCCCGGCGTCCCCTGGGGCTGCTCGGCTGCCCGCCTGGCTGCCCAGTTGGGCTGCCGTTGGGACCTGCATCTAGGACCACGACATGGCGGCCGACACCATCTCCCACCGACGGCCCGCCTTTTGTCGGAGGCCACACGGTGGCCTCCGGGGAAGTGGGAGAGAAAAAAAAAAAAAAGGAAGGATAGCCGAGAAATTATGCGCTGGATGCGGACAGGGCCCTCGGCGGCCCACGCGCGCCCCACAGGCCACCAGCCCAGGCAGCCCCTCCCCAACCAAGGATGTGGCCAGTCATCGGACGGGAACACTGTTCCCAATCAGGGATATGGCCGGCGCGCACGCGACAGCACCAATCCCAGGCGAAAGCACCATTTCCAAACAGGGATGTGGCCCGCGCTCGAATTGCAGCACCACGCTCGGGCAGGCACGTGACCAGCGCTGAGGCAAGACGAGCAGCCTCAGTCAGGGATGTGGCTAGCGCTCGGACAGGAATACCGTTCCCAATCAGGGATGCGGCCAGCGCTCGAGCGGCAGCGCCATCCCCAATCAGGGGTGTGGCTGGCGCTCTGGCGAGAGTGCCATCCCAGAAAGGGATGTGGCCGGCGCGCAGGCGACAGCACCATTCCTTCGACAGAGCTGTTGCCAGCGCTCAGCCGACAGCGCGCCACTCCTGATCAGGGATGCGGCCAGCGCTCAAGCGAGAGCAACATTCCGACGCAGGAGCATGGCTGAACTTCCAACTGTAGGCCGCGCCGGCTGTCTTCCTCCTCCTCCTGCTGCTCCTCCTTCTAGTCCTTCTCCCCCTAGCTCCCCCCAAACCTCCCCGGTCTTCCCCGTGCTCCTCCTCCTCCTCCTCCTCCGCCCCTTCCGTTGCTTCCTTGTCTCCTCTGCCCGCTTATCCTGCGCCCTCCTCCCCCTCCTCCTCCTCCTCCTCCTCCTCCTCCTCCTCCTCCTCCTCCTCCTCCTCCTCCTCCTCCTCCTCCTCCTCCTCCTTCCTTCTCCCCTTCCTTTGTCTCTTGTCTCCTCTGCTGCTTCTCCTGCGCCCTCCTCTCCCTCCCCCTCCTCCCCTCCCCCCCTCCTCCTCCTCCTCCTCCTCCTCCTCCTCCTTCCTCCTCCTCCTTCTCCCCTTCCGTTGCCTCCTCTTCTCCTCTGCCTGCTTCTCCTGCGCCCTCCTGCCCCTCCCCTCCCCTCCTCCTCCTCCTCCTCCTCCTCCTCCTCCTCCTCCTCCTCCTCCTCCTCCTCCTCCTCCTCTCCTCTGCCTCCTTGTCTCCTCTGCCTGCTTCTCCTCCCGTCCTCCTCCCCTCCTCCCTCCTTCTCCTCCTCCCTCTCTCCTCCTCCTCCTCCTTCTCCTCGAAAGAGCGTCGACTCGGCTTGGGAACTGCGCGTGGCAGCGCACCTCCCCCTGTCCTTATTCTACCTCCTCCTGCTCCCCCTGAACGTCCCTTCCTCCCGCTCCCCTTCTTCTCTTCCTCACCCTCCTTCCCTTCCGCCTACTCTTTATGTCCTGCTCGTCCTGCTCCTCCTCCTCCTCCTCTTCCTGCCGCTCACCTTGTCCTGCGTGTCTGTCCTCCTCGTCCTTCTCATCCTCCTGCTCCTCCCCCCCTCTCCTCTCCTCCTCCTCCTCCTCCTCCTCCTCCTCCTCCTCCTCCTCCTTCTCGAGATTCCTCCTCCTGCTCTAGCCCTCCTCCTCCTCGTTCCTGTCCTCCTCCTCCTCCTTCTCGGGCTCCACCTCCTGCTGTCACGAAATATGTTCTCGGGAAGCTTCCCGGGAATATAATTCCGCGTGCCTCCCTTTCTCCACCTCACCGATATGATCCTCCTTCTCGTTTCCCTCCTCTTCTTTCTCGGGCTCCTCCTCCTCCTCCTCCTGTCGCGCAAGATGTGCCCAGGAAGACTCCCGGGAACATAAGTCCCATCCCCTTGCTCAAGTGCCTGATCCCTCCTTGGCGGCCCTTCCCCCTCCTCCTCCTTCCTCTGATCCTCCTCCTCTGGCTGCTCTTCCTCCTATTCCCGTTCCTCTCCCTCTTCTTCCTCCGCCTCCTCCTGCTTCCCCTCGACTTCTCCCTCTCTCTCCCTTGCTTCTGCTGCCGTGTGTCCCTCCTCGTCACTCCGCGGGTCGCGGGGCCGAAAAGTCTCGGAAGCCGATGGGTCGTGGGGCCGCGATTGAGGATCTTCGACCCTAGAGGTCAGGAGCGCCCAGGGGCCGAAGGATTCGGAGGACTCCTGGGGTCGACTTCAAGGGTCGTGGGGCCTACGGTCCCCAGGGGTATCCGGACCGGGGAGGGCGCCCGGATCGGGAGGCGTCTTGACCAGGGAAGGGGAGGGGGAGGAGGAAGGGCAGAGGATATTGAGGGGGAGGAGGAGGAGGAGGAGGAGGGGGAGGAACAGGAGGAGAGAGAAGAGGAGGAGGAGAAGAACGTGTACGAAGAGAAGAAGCAAATGAGGGAGGAGGAGGTGGTGGAGGAGAAGGAAGGGAACTAAGGAAACGGAGGAAAGAGACAGGCGAGGAGGAGGAGGAGGAGGAGGAGGAGGAAGAGGACGAAGGGGGAGGAAGAAGAGAAGGAGAAGGAGAAGGAGAAGGAGGAGGAGGAGGAGAAGGACGGACAGATATATGTACATATACACATAAGGAAAGAGCTGCCTTGATACTTCTGCCAGGGCCTTGCCGTGATCTCGGCTAGAACCATCGCGCGCGCTTCGCGCGCGCTTGGTCAGGGTCCAAAAACATATGGGATTTGCCACATGTCTGACATTCGGTGGCACCCCTCAAACAGATCGGCGGGGTCAGGGTGCGAAAACGCAAAGGGTTTGCTACATTTCTGAAATTCGGCGGCACCCCTCACGCAGATCGGCGGGGTCAGGGTGCAAAAACACAAAGGATTTGCCACATTTCTGAAATAGGGTAACACCCCTCACGCAGATCGGCGGGGTCAGGGTGCAAAAACACAAGGGATTTGCCACATTTCTGAAATTCCGTATCACCCCTCACCCAGATCGGCAGGGTCAGGGTCCAAAAACACAAGGGATTTGCAACATATCTGAAATTCGGCGGCACCCCTCATGCAGATCGGCAGGGTCAGGGTCCAAAAATATTGGGGAATTGCCACATTTCTAAAATTCGGTATCACCCCTCATGCAGATCGGCAGGGTCAGGGTCCAAAAACACAAGGGATTTGCCATATTTCTGAAATTCGGCGGCACCCCTCATGCAGATCGGCAGGATCACCCCTCACGCAGATCGGCAGGGTCAGGGTCCAAAAACATTCTGGGGAATTGCCACATTTCTGAGGTTCGGCGGCGCCCCTCATGCAGATCGGCAGGGTAAGGGTCCAAAAACCATAGGGGAATTGCTACATTTCTGCAATACGTCGGCACCCCTCACGCAGATCCGTAAGGTCAGGGAAGTCGCGGAAGAGTCTTCTAGGAGCCCTCTTGGAGCAATCTTGAGATCCTCTTGGGGCGTATTGGGGCTTTTTCGGCCCGTCTTGGGCCTCTGCGAAAAATCCCTTGAGCCCTGTTTGGAAGCGTCGTTGGGCTGTCCAGGTCTGTCGTGAAGCCTTTCGGGGGCATCAGAGTCCCGCGCAGCTCTCTTGGATTCATCCTGAGCGGCCCAAACAGCCTGTGCAGCAAAGCTACGGCCCAAACAGCCTGTGCAGCAGAGCTACACGCCTACTCGCTACAGCAAATGGCGATGATGAAAAAGACGCGGAGGCACAATGCCGCGAGAAGAAGAAAGGAGACTGCTCGTCTTCCTCCTCCCTTCCTCCTCCTCCTCCTCCTCCTCCTCCTCCTCTTCAGTATCATGTTCATCATCATGTTCATCATCATCATCATCATCAGCAGCAACATCATTGTCATCATTCGCATCCGCATGCTCGTTGTAGCTTTACAAATATCCGTAGCAGCAGGGAGTGATACGAATAGTTGTAGTAGTAAGATCAACAACAGCAGCGCCGTAGTAGTCGTAGTAGTACCAGCAGCAGTAGTAGTAGCAGTAGCAGTAGGAGCAGTAGTAGTTCTAATAGCTGTGCTCGTTGGTTCCTCCCCCCCCGAGCCTCCTTATCAGCCGAAGGGTGGTCGTATAGATAGGTGTTGTTGAAGTTGCGATCGCAGTAGTAGTTGTAGTTGCATTCGTACCAGTTACAGTAACGGTAACGATAGTAGTCCATGGGAATAGGAATAGTAGCATCAGCAATAGAGAGTGTGGATGTAGTAATAATGATAGTAGCAGTTGTTGTTGTAGCGGCACCCGTAGCAACAGCAGTAGCGATAGTAACACATGGAAATAGGAGTCATGTCATCTGTATTAACTGCACTTGTAGTAGCACCGGTGAGAGCAGCGGAAAAGGGTAGTAACAAATAGGAGTAGTAGTAGTAGCAGTAGTAGTAGTAGCAGCAGCAACAGCAGCAGCAGCAGTAGTAGTAGTAGTAGTAGTAGTAATAGTAATAGTAGTAGTAGTAGTAGTAGTAGTAGTAGTAGTAGTAGCATTAGTAGTAGTAGTAGTAGTAGTAGTAGTAGTAGTAGTAGTAGTAGTAGTAGTAGTAGTAGTAGTAGTAGTAGTAGTAGTAGTAGTAGTAGTAGTAGTAGTAGTAGTAGTAGTAGTAGTAGTAGTAGTAGTAGTAGTAGTAGTAGGTAGTAGTATCGTAGTAGTAGTAGTAGTAGTAGTAGTAGTAGTAGTAGTAGTAGTAGTAGTAGTAGTAGTAGTAGTAGTAGTAGTAGTAGTAGTAGTAGTAGTAGTAGTAGTAGTAGTAGTAGTAGTAGTAGTAGTAGTAGTAGTAGTAGTAGTAGTAGTAGTAGTAGTAGTAGTAGTAGTAGTAGTAGAGTAGTAGTAGTAGTAGTAGTAGTAGTAGTAGTAGTAGTAGTAGTAGTAGTAGTAGTAGTAGTAGTAGTAGTAGCAGTAGTAGTAGTAGTAGTAGTAAGTAGTAGTAGTAGTAGTAGTAGTAGTAGTAGTCAGTAGTAGTAGTAGTAGTAGTAGTAGTAGTAGTAGTAGTAGTAGTAGTAGTAGTAGTAGTAGTAGTAGTAGTAGTAGTAGTAGTAGTAGTAGTAGTAGTAGTAGTAGTAGTAGTAGTAGTAGTAGTAGTAGTAGTAGTAGTAGTAGTAGGTGTTATGGTTGTGGATGTTCTTCGCGCCCTCGCGAGGCCATCGCGAGGGAGGTCAGCTCTCTAGCCTAGGCCGCGACGCGCTAAGCACGATATTCGCGCCCCTCGGGTGACCGAGTCTCAGACAGCCGCCGAAGGCCTCATCCTCCCGCTCCGCCTTGTCCTTTCCCTCCTCCTCCTCTTCCTTACCCGCCCCCTCTTACCCTTCCCTCCACTTCCTCCCCCTCCTCCTGTTCGTACTCCTCCTCCCCTCCTCCTCCTCTTCCTCATCCTCAGCATCATGTCCATCATAGCTTTCATCACCATGATCATCATCAGCAGCAGCAGCATCATTACGCTACCGAGGAACCCCACATACTTAACTTAAATATTGAGTGTGTGCTTAAGTTTATAATATATGTGCAATTCTGCGTTCTCAGCCTTCGTCGCGAATGTTCCCCTATGTGTCATCCAATGCCATATTGCTTGAACCTCCTCCCTCTTCCTAGCCTTCTATCCTCCGTCGAGGACAGATTCGAGCCAGCCAGCGGCCGCGGTGAGGGACCACCCCCTGCGCACCCCCAGTGGTGTCGAGAAAATGCCGCGCCTGCTATGCCCTGGACGACCGTCGTGCATGGCGGCCGCGGTGAGGGACCACCCCCTGCGCAGCCTCTATGGTGTCGAGAAAGTGCCACGCATGCTATGCCTGGACGACCGTCGTGCATAGCGGCCGCGCTGAGGGACCACCATCTGCGCACCTCCTGTGGTGTCGAGAAAGTGCCACTCCTGCCACGATCTGCGAGCGTGTCACGGATAGAGGCCGCGCTGAGGGACCACCCTCTGCGCACCCCCTGTGGTGTCGAGAAAGTGCCACTCCTGCCAAGATCTGCGAGCGTGTCACGGATAGAGGCCGCGCTGAGGGACCACCCTCTGCGCACCCCCTGTGGTGTCGAGCAAGTGCCACTCCTGCCACGATCTGCGAGCGTGTCACGGATACAGGCCGCGCTGAGGGACCACCCCCTGCGCACCCCCTGTGGTGTCGAGAAGTGCCACTCCTGCCACGATCTGCGAGCGTGTCACGGATAGAGGCCGCGCTGAGGGACCACCCTCTGCGCACCCCCTGTGGCGTCTGCCACTCCTGCCACGAAGCTGCGAGCGCTCTGCGCACGATGCCACGATCTGCGAGCGTGTCACGGATAGAGGCCGCGCTGAGGGACCACCCTCTGCGCACCCCCTGTGGTGTCGAGAAAGTGCCACTCCTGCCACGATCTGCGAGCGTGTCACGGATAGAGGCCGCGCTGAGGGACCACCCTCTGCGCACCCCCTGTGGTGTCGAGAAAGTGCCACTCCTGCCACGATCTGCGAGCGTGTCACGGATAGAGGCCGCGCTGAGGGACCACCCTCTGCGCACCCCCTGTGGTGTCGAGAAAGTGCCACTCCTGCCACGATCTGCGAGCGTGTCACGGATAGAGGCCGCGCTGAGGGACCACCCTCTGCGCACCCCCTGTGGTGTCGAGAAAGTGCCACTCCTGCCACGATCTGCGAGCGTGTCACGGATAGAGGCCGCGCTGAGGGACCACCCTCTGCGCACCCCCTGTGGTGTCGAGACAGTGCCACTCCTGCCACGATCTGCGAGCGTGTCACGGATAGAGGCCGCGCTGAGGGACCACCCTCTGCGCACCCCCTGCGGCTTCGAGAAAATGCCACTCCTGCCACGATCTGCGAGCGTGTCACGGATAGAGGCAGCGCTGAGGGACCACCCTCTGCGCACCCCCTGTGGTGTCGAGAAAGTGCCACGCCTGCCACGATCTGCGAGCGTGTCACGGATAGAGGCCGCGCTGAGGGACCACCCTCTGCGCACCCCCACCCCCTGTGGCGTCGAAGGAATACCCCGTGTGGTATGCTGTGCTGTGCTGTGCTGTTCTGTGCTGCTGTACGGTGAGCAGTGCTGTGCCGTGCCGTGCCGTGCCGTGCTGTGCTGTGCTGTGCTGTGCGAGAAGGAGAAGGGGAGGGGGGAGGTGTGAGACGCGGGTGCGGTGCGGCAGGGAAGAAAACCAGAACCCCACGAAACATGTGGGGAACTATCATCATAACATCCGCATGCTCGCTGTAGCTGTACAAGTGTCCATAGTAGCAGGGAGTGACAGTAATAGTTGTAGTTGTAATATCACCAACTTTAGCGCCGTAGTAGTCGTAGTAGTAGTCGTAGTAGTAGTAGTAGTAGTAGTAGTAGTAGTAGTAGTAGTAGTAGTAGTAGTAGTAGTAGTAGTAGTAGTAGTAGTAGTAGCAGCCGTAGTAGCAGTAGCAGAAGGAGCAGTAATCGTTCTAATAGCTGTGCTCGTACGAACAACAACAGCAACCACGAGAATAACACATGTGCATCACCGCGGTAGCCACAAAAATATGTGCTGGCGCCGTAGTAGTAGTTTTAGCATTTCTATGACTAGTAAAAGCAAGCGCCGCAACGATAGTTACAAAATAATGCGCATAGTTGCCAAAGCCTCAATAATAATTATTGTTGAAGTTGTGATCGCAGTAGTAGTTGTAGTTGCATTGGAACCAGTAGCATTAGTGGTAACGATAGTAACCCACGGGAATCAGAATAGTATCATCAGCAATAATAAGTGTGGGTGTAATAATAATGATAGTAGCAGTTGTTGTTGTAGCAACACCCGTAACAACCACAGTAACGATAACAACACATGGGGATACCACCTGTTGTAGCACCGGGGACAGCAGCGGAAACGGTAGAAACAGATAGGAGTAGTAGTAGCTGTTATGGCTGTGGATGTAGTAATAAAGTTCTTAGCCGTGTAGCGCACGGCGAGACGCCAAGCTTCCAAAGAACAAGTTGGTCGGAGTTGCATCTGGTCTGAGTGCTCTGGTTGGTCTGGGTCTGGCTGGTCTGGTTGGTCTGGTTGGAGCCTGGTGCTGAAGCTTTAGCTTAGGATTCAGGCGAGTGGTTTAGGGGAGGTCCGGGAAGGCAGCAACAACCACTACCCTTTTCCAAAAGCAGATTTTGTTGCATTGCAGTTTTTTTTGCATTGCAGTTTTTTGCATTGCAGTTTTTTTGTTTCGCATTGCAGATTTTTTGTTGCATCTGGTCTGGCTGGTCTGGGTGGTCTGGTTTGAACTTGGTGCTGAGGCTTTAGCTTAGGATTCAGGCGAAGGTGGTTTAGGGGAGGTCCGGGGAGCCAGCGACAACCACTACCACCGAAAAGCAATATTTTGTGCATTGCAGTTTTTTTGCTTTGCATTTTTTTGGTTGCATTGCATTTTTTTTGCATCTGGTCTGGCTGGTCTGGGTGGTCTGGTTTGAGCTTGGTGCTAAAGCTTTAGCTTAGGATCAGGCGAGAATGGTTTAGGGGAGGTCCGGGGAGGCAGCGACAACCACTACAACCGAAAAGCAGTTTTGTGCATTGCAGTTTTTTTTGCATTGCAGTTTTTTTTACATTGCAGTTGTTGTTTGCATCTGGTCTGGCTGGTCTGGGTGGTCTGGTTTGAGCTTGGTGCTGAAGCTTTAGCTTAGGATTCAGGCGAAGGTGGTTTAGGGGAGGTCCGGGGAGGCAGCGACAACCACTACCACCACCGAAAAGCAGATTTTTTTGCATTGCAGTTATTTTTACATTGCAGCTTTTTTTCTGCATCTGGTCTGGCTGGTCCGGGTGGTCTGGTTGAGCCTGGTGCTGAAGCTTTAGCTTAGGATTCAGGCGAGAGTGGTTTAGGGGAGGTCCGGGGAGGCAGCAACAACCACTACCCCTTCCGAAAAGCAGATGTTGTTGCATTGCCGTTGTTTTGCATTGCAGTTTTTTGGGGCATTGCAGTTTTTTTGTTTGCATTGCCGTTTTTTTTTGCATCTGGTCTGGCTGGTCTAGGTGGTCTAGTCTGAGCTTGGTGCTGAGGCTTTAGCTTAGGATTCAGGCGAGAGTGGTTTAGGGGAGGTCCGGGGAGGCAGCGACAACCACTACCACCGAAAAGCAGTTTTTGGTGCATTGCATTTTTTGTTGCATCTGGTCTGGCTGGTCTGGGTGGTCTGGTTTGAGCCTGGTGCTAAGGCTTTAGCTTATGATTCAGGCGAGAGTGGTTTAGGGGAGGTCCGGGGAGCCAGCAACAACCACTACCACCACCGAAAAGCGGTTTTTCCCCAAACAGCGTGCTGAACGGGGTGCTGTTGTGATAGAAGCTAATTCCGGCCGAGGGAAAGCTAAGCAGAGACATCCTCAAACAAATGTGGTGGTCCGGCCCGTTTCGCCTGAGACATCCTCATTACTCTCGTTTCTGAGTTGTCCGGGATTGAGCGTTTCGCCTGAGACATCCTCCTAAATCTGAGCTCTGAGAGGCCGCGCGAGAGGTGGTCCGGGCCGTTTCGCTTGAGACATCCTCGAAACTCTGAGCTCCCAGATGCCGCGCGAGAGGTGGTCCGGGCCGTTTCGCCTGAGACATCCTCGCAACTCTGAGCTCCAAGATGCCGCGCGCGAGGTGGTCCGGCCCGTTTCGCCTGAGACATCCTCGAAACTCTGATCTCCCCGATGCCGCGCGCGAGGTGGTCCGGCCCGTTTCGCCTGAGACATCCTCGAACTTCTGAGCTCTGAGATGCCCTGCGCGAGGTGGTCCGGCCCGTCTCGCCTGAGAAATCCTTGCAACTCTGAGATCTGAGATGCCGTGCGCAAGGTGGTCCGGCCTGTTTCGCACAAGATATTCTCGCAACTCTGAGCTCTCAGATGCTGCGCAAGAGGTGGTCCAGCCTGGGGGCCCAGAAGGCCACATGTTACATATCCTCCATGGGACCCTGCGAGCCTCAGGAGGCCCCAGAGAGGTCCAGGAGGCCGCAGGACGCCCAGGACAGGCCCCAGGGGCCCCCAGGAGATTCCCAGGAGGCCCCAGGAGGCCCTCTATCAGAACGTGTCAAGTTAATACACATCCGGTGTCGATTCGTTGATTTTTCCTGCTCTTGTGCCCCCCCCTCCATTTGGAGAGGCCCAAGCGGCCACAGGTTAGATATCCCCCCTGGGAGCCCCAAGATGCTTCAGGAAACCTCAGGTGGAGTTCAGGAGGCCACAGGAGGCCCAGGAGGAAGCTCCAGGAGGTCCCCAGGAGGCCCAGGAGGCACCAGGAGGCCGCAGGACGCCCAGGACAGGCCCCAGGGGTCTCCAGGAGATTCCCAGGAGGCTCCCAGGAGGCCCCAGGAGGCCGCTTATCAGAACGTGTCAAGTTAATACACATCCGGTGTCGATTCGTTGATTTTTCCTGCTCTTGTGCCCCCCCCTCCATTTGGAGAGGCCCAAACGGCCACAGGTTAGATATCCCCCCTGGGAGCCCCAAGAGGCTTCAGGAAACCCCAGGTGGAGTTCACGAGGCCACAGGAGGCCCAGGAGGAAGCTCCAGGAGGTCCCCAGGAGGCCCCAGGAGGCACCAGGAGGCCCCCGCAACTCGGAGCTCTGAGACGCCGCGCTCGAGGTGGTCCGGCCCGTTTCGCCTGAGACTTCCTCGCAGCACGTTTCGCCCGAGACATCGTCGCAACTCTGGGGTCCGAGATGCCGCGCGCGAGGTGGTCCAGCCCGTTACGCTGGAGACATCCTCGCAACTCTAGGCTCCGAAATGCCGTTCGCGATGAAGAGGAGGTGGAGGAGGAGGAGGAGGAGGAGGAGGAGGAGGAGGAGGAGATGGAAGGGAGAAGGAGGAGGCGGATGATGTGCATGAGGGAGCAGGCAGGAGGAGGGGGAGGTCCCAGAGAGCTTCAGGAGGCCGCAGGACGCCCAGGACAGGCCCCAGGGGTCCGCAGGAGATTCCCAGGAGGCTCCCAGGAGGCCCCAGGAGGCCCTCTATCAGAACGTGTCAAGTTAATACACATCCGGTGTCGATTCGTTGATTTTTCCTGCTCCTGTGGCCCCCCCCTGTATTTGGAGAGGCCCAAACGGCCACAGGTTAGATATCCCCCCTGGGAGCCCCAAGATGCTTCAGGAAACCTCAGGTGGAGTTCAGGAGGCCACAGGAGGCCCGGGAGGAAGCCCCAGGAGGTCCCCAGGAGGCCCCAGGAGGCACCAGGAGGCCCCCGCAACTCGGAGCTCTGAGACGCCGCGCTCGAGGTGGTCCGGCCCGTTTCGCCTGAGACTTCCTCGCAGCACGTTTCGCCCGAGACATCGTCGCAACTCTGGGGTCCGAAATGCCGCGCGCGAGGTGGTCCAGCCCGTTACGCTGGAGACATCCTCGCAACTCTGGGTTCCGAGATGCCTTTCGGGATGAAGAGGAGGTGGACGAGGAGGAGGAGGAGGAGGAGGAGGAGGCATGTTTTAACATGCCATGCCAGCCCGCACTAGGCGGGCACGCAATCGACCTTGGAAACCGCAGTGGGTCTAAAAACCCTGTTTGGGGATACTGCACTCCGGCTATAATTTTTGCACTGCAGTTTTTTGTGCATTGCAGTTTTTGTTGCATTGCAGTTTTTTTTGCATCTTATCTGGCTGGCCTGGGTGGTCTGGTTGAGCCTGGCGCTGAGGCTTTAGCTTAGGATTCAGGCGAGAGTGGTTTAGGGGAGGTCCGGGGAGGCAGCGACAACCATTACCACCACCACCGAAAAGCAATTGATTTTGCATCTGGTTTGAGCCTGGTGCTGAGGCTTTAGCTTAGGATTCAGGCGAGTGTGGTTTAGGGGAGGTCCGGGGAGGCAGCAACAACCACTACCACCACCGAAAAGCAAATTTTGTTGCATTGCAGTTTTTGTTGCATTGCATTTTTGGGGAATTGCAGTTTTTTGTTGCATCTGGTCTGGCTGGTCTGGTTGGTCTGGTTTGAGCCTGGTGCTGAGGCTTTAGTTTAGGGTTCAGGCGAGAGTGGTTTAGGGGAGGTCCGGGGAGGCAACCACTACCACCACCACCGAAAAGCAGTTTTTTTGCATTGCATTTTTTTGCATCTGGTCTTGCTGGTCTGGTTGGTCTTGTTTGAGCCTCGTCTTTCAGCCTTAGCTTAGGGGGAGGACGTGGCACTGAATTTGACGGGCATGGCTTTTCAGAGGGCAGTGTAGCTTAAAACGTGGCAGGGCTGCTGCTGTGGCTCAAATCGTTGCTTCAAAAGAGCCGACCTAACGCCTGCCATTTTTAGCAGCGTGCTCTAAAGCCCGCACGACCTCATAATCATCCTTCAACGCGCTTTGCAGGAAATGCTTCCCCTTGTCACTGAGGTATGTTTCGTGTTGGAAGGGGTATTGACCCTTGTCATGCGGAATTTCGGCGGGCGCTGCCCACCCCAAACGCCCAAACACATCCTTGAGATCGTGAGAAATCGTCTCGGAACGAATCAAATACACCTCTTGTGCGAGAACGCACTCGAGATCGTGTTCAAAATAATAGCGAAAGCCTTTACCAACGTGCTCAGACATGATTGGCTTCTCAAGCGCTCGGCGGGCAATGCTACCGCAATCGCTCTGGTCCTGCAACGACTCCGCAAAGTCGTTGACTTTTCGGAAGCATCGATAGAACTCCTGCTCTTGTTTATCTTGCTGGAAACCTGCCTGCCCGTGCGGCGAATCTCCGTTTAGGGGGTTCCTCCAATTGAAAGCAGATACAACACGAGCAAGCGGGTCTCGAACAGAAACAATCCACGTGCGTTGCTTGTCTGCGCGGCAATTGTCGACCTGCCGAATGTGAATCTCATGGTAAGGGGTTTGCTTGTAGATGGCCATACCAATTGAACTGCCTGCGCACTTGCCAACATGCACAAACTGCACAAGCTCCTTATAGTGTCGCAATGACTCGTTATGTTGCCTTTGACGGCACTCAGAAACAATACGTCTCCAGTCTTCAACATTCAAGCTTTCATCGTCCCAATCGGGCCCTCCACTTTCGATATCATCACACTCGGAATATGGTTCCATTTTATCTTGTGGGTCAGAAAATTCATAGATGCCCATGCCGTCCTCTGCGTTCGAAACAACGTGCAAGGCGGAGACCACACTACTGCCGCTCAATGCACATATTAAGCATGCGATCGCCCTCGCGAACACCATCGTGAGTGCTGAAATACGAATGTTCGTATATTGCCTGTTCAGGAAAGTTCAGATATTGCGCTTGCTCAAGGTAGCACTTGAACCAAACTGGCTACGGAGTGATCATATCAGCGTTTT